GTGAAGGCTGGTCCGGGGGGTGGTGGTGGGGGGTCCTAACCATGGGTACCGTGTGCTGCAGCAGTGCCCTGGTGCTGCACAAGGAAGTTTTGGGGTCCAGGGGATTTTTAAGCAAAGAAAGACATAAAATTTGGATTTCAGCGCTGCAGAGAGAGCTTGCGGGTGCCGTGATTCTGGCTGCGTGCCCTGGTTTTGCCCACCGCTGTGCTTTCTTGCTTTCCTTTGAGGGCTGTCCTAAAAGCGATGGTGCACACAGAGGCCATGCAGCAGCCTGTGACAGTGCCAGTGGGAGAGGGCTGGGGTCCCCAAAGGCACAGGCCCCCAGGCATCAGCTCAAAACCACAGGCTCCAAGCAGAGATGCAAGGCAGGGCAGCAATCCCCCCCCCGCCCCCCAGCCCTGCGTGGTGAAAACCAAAATGCCAAGTGAAGATCTTCCTCTGTCCCGTTTATTTTTAGAGTCACAAAAGATGATCTCCTTTCTATTCTTTCTTCTTTGCTTCCCTGTATTATCCTGACCCTAAATGCCTGGCTTTAGTCTGAAGCCCCAGCAAATAATTACATCTGTCATTCAGCAGGCTCCTGTGTTCACCTTATCGTTAAATGTAAGGCATACCCTGGCAATCCCTTTACTATGAGGAAGTGTTGAAAAGGCTATCGGCCTGACTAAGAACAGCAACAGGGACTTCACTGAGTATCAGCCCACCAAGAAGTGATCCCCAAGCTTCTTCCCTTTCAGGAGTCATGACACCTCAACCTGGCATGTTCCTTATATTCCGGTGCCAAAGGCATGTCTTAGTCCAATGCCATTACTCGTCAACTGAAGGCTGGCATAAGGCAGCTGCCCACTGCAGCTCTGTCTGCCGTCAGCCGCATCAAAGTGCTCTCAGGTTTTCTGCCTGGGAATGTCTCCGTTTACAGAGGCTGTAAACAGTTCGGCTGGCAGCCGAGACTTGGCCCCAGAGTCGAACCTACGGCTCACCTCGCGGACTGAGGGCGAGCAGCGGCATTCTGCCGCATCCTCAGGCACATCGTCCCCTCCCAGCATCGTGTCACACGCTTCCAAAACCCTGCACCCAGGAACCCCCAGCAGCAGGGTCCCTCATCGTGAAGGAGCATTAAGCTGCCAGAGTGAAGATTACAAAGGATGGGTGTTTGGGGGTTTTGGCGTCCCCGTGCCCACATGGTTCTGGCCATCATACCCCAGGGACTTTCCTGCCTCACCCTGCCCGCAGTTGCCTGCACTGAGCTCACATGCAGACTCACTTTTATAATTTCTTTCAACATAAATTAATTAAAAAACCCCACCCATGAATGCACAACTTATATGATTTTTTACAAAAAAACCCCAAAAGCTAGAATCCTCTCCTTGGCTTCTGACAGAGCTTTATTTCAAACTGCGTATGTGTGCAAATATCTGCCCAGCTGTGCACAGTGCAGCCACGCTCTCGCCACAGCTGCCTGTACAAACTTGGCCCTTGCGTGGACAAGCAACCTGTTTGGACAGTTGTACAGGGACTTACTGATTTTTTTTTTGCATTCATTCATGAGGCAGAAGTGAAAATTAGGTTCATAGATTTTGCACCTGCAGTGCTAACTTCTGCATAATTCTGGTACTGCACGTACTGTGTTTTGCAGCTGCTTTACAAACCGAGTGCTTCTGTGACAGCAGAAGCAGCAGTGAAACTAAATAATTGCTGCCGTGATTGAAAATAATACTGTGCTGGCACCCAGCTCTCATTAAACAGTGCCAGGAATAACACTTCCAAAAACATGTGGGGGCAGTTAAAAAAGACTTTCTCGCTGAATTAGGTGAGAGCCAGCGGTACCCTTCACCCTTATGTACGCTGAGCAGACTTGACCGGTGATGCTGCTGAGAGGCTCAGGGTGCTGTGCGCAGGAATGAAAGGGACAGAAATAATATGAAGTGTGTGCCTACTGAGACTGCAGTGAAAAAAGACCTGTGTCACCTCTTTTGTGTAACTTGTCATCTCTCCTGTGTTTGCATGTCTGAAGCTTGTCCAGAGGGTCTGTTTGGGGCACGCTGTGAAGAGCACTGTGACTGTGGGGACAACGTGTCGTGCCATCATGTTACTGGCGCTTGCGATTGCCCCCGTGGCTGGAGGGGCCGGCGCTGTGAGAAAGGTAAGACGGCATCCCTTCGACGGCACAGCATCCAGACCCCGCTGGGTACATCCCTGGCCCAGGGGAAACCGAGGCTCCTTCCAAAGTCTGGGAAGGAGAGAAACTTCGTTTTTAATAAAAGTTACAAGTTGTGGCAAAAGTGACAGCCTGCCCTGAAAGAGGCTTTTGGATTGCTGCAAAAAATGCTGGCTCAGCACCGCATGTGGGAGCTGGGCGCTGAGGGCAGGAGCTGACCCTTAGCCCTTGCATCTCCTTGCTTGTTTTCCCACAGCCTGCCTGCCGGGTTCGTTCGGGAAGAACTGTGCCAGCCGCTGCGCCTGTCCCCTGGGAGTGCCTTGCGATCACATCACCGGCCGGTGCGGCTGCCCGCCGGGCTTTACAGGCTCTGGATGTGAAAAATGTACGAAGAAGAAGGGAGCGATCCTCTTACAGTTCTGCTGACAGGCTCTGGGAACATGATGGGTCAAGCAATTGCTACATAAAATAGAGGCCAAAAAAAAAAAAAGAAAAAAACAGAAAAAAAAGCCCCCAACAGCGAGCTGTGCCAAGGAGCAACTCACATTATGGCAGCTGGGTGCATGCCCGCAAAATGTTAGCAAAGCACAGGGAGCCGAGTGGGAAATCAGAGCTGTGTATTTATCCAGAGGACTAGCAATAAATCAGTATTAAAATGAGCTCCTGTGGGTATGAGCAAGTCTGGAAGAGACAGAGGCATGTGAGCACATTCCTTACCCAGGGGACAGGGCTGTATTTGTGATGCTGGGGCAGGGGGGGCTGGAAGCTTGCAGGAATATGAGGGG